TTTAGTATGCATATAAGCAGGCTCTATAAAATGGTTTTTAAAAGAAAAACATGAATAGCTTGGAATAACAGATGCAGGAGTAAGTTTGCAGATTGGTTCGTCGCATAAGATAGCGTTTATTTAAAGTAACTAATTACTTGTTAATAATAATAGAAATTATAATAAAATCCAGTCTAAAATTTATGAAATTCGGATTCAACAAAAATATTGTATGCAACTGATTTATTACCAAGCATATCAATTGATCACATGAATTTTTTATCTCTCTTACTGATTTATTTGAGTTTTAATGACTTATATTTAAGATGCCTGTAAGAAATTGAGAAGAAATTATAAATTTATCAATGAATTTAATTTCATTTAGGCTTTCATTTGGCTTGGAAAACAAAATCAAAATAAACTGGGTGCTATCGTTAGCGTTTACCAGACCTTGGGTCAGGATGTAATGACCCATATACAAACTGTTCTAGCCAGGACTCTTTAGTGTTGTTGGGTCATATGAGGGACAATGTATTTCCTGCGAATCAAGCAGCCCAACCTCTTGAATGCATATCTTAGTCCGCTTCTCTTCAGTTAAAACCCAATGGGGTAAATAACGAGACTTTTGAGGAACATAAATTTACGTAAACGTAATTGTTATGCTTGCTATTTAGGCCTGAGCATATAAAGTATTAAGTTTCATGACTAAAAGAATTTACAATAATCATAAGTATTTAATGTCTGATAAATTTGCTATGCAAATTTAATGATATTCTCCTCTTCACCATGAGCACATTGTTATAAGAGCCAAGTTATTTTGTCTTGTAGGATCATGTGAATTCAATCTTTTCACGTTTTGACCAGGCTTTCTTGATGTGGAGAACACCACGACAAGTGAGTCCACGAGCAGCGCACAACTTTTTGAGCCTTGATAAAATTGATCGGGCCTTGGAACGTTGGTCAGCCTACACTGGTCACATGGAACCTCGAGAGATTGCCGAAATTCCGGGCAGCACCGACCAGGTGAGTTACAGTCTCTACGGGGACACATCATCGCATGGATGGGCTAATCGACGCTTTCCACAGTCCACTTATATGGATGACTTTTCGCCAACTCGAATGAGCTTTATGAAACAGCGCAACGATCAAAGTGAGTAACCAAATCTTACTTCCAGTTGGTGCTATTAAAGATACGCTAGTTCAATGAAAATGGTTAACATTTGTTTCGAATTTATATAGACTTTACTCTTTTCTAGCATTTTCCTTTTTGATCTGCTTTCTTTTCGGACCACCGACTGTCGGACTAGTGGATACAAGCAGTTCAAGACTCAACACTTCTTTCACCTTTAGTCCGAACCAGTAGACATATTAGAACAGACTTTATAAAGTTTTGTGTCTACATAGTCATCAATGAAAATGATGCGCTTCCATTGGGTGGCCATCATCTTCCGTGACGAAGTCCAATCGAAGATCTCTTATTTAGATTGATATATTTAGGTCGCATAAATTGATCTAAGGCATAATAAAAAAGTTTTGAAGTTATTAAGATCTTTATCTTTTGATTAGGTCTTTGATACTACAAAAAGTCAGATGTATGCACGTTAAATGAAAAAATAAATAATGTTGTCTGTTGCTATAGCAAATATATTGTTGCATGACTCTCCATATCAAAGAAAAAGTTGGTTGAAGAGAAGTCGTGATGTTGTTTCACCGAAAACCAAAGGAGGATAGTCGCGTAGGAAAGACTGATGAATTGTGTA